CACGGAGCAAATTCTCTTTTACACACACCCACGTCTCAGTTCTTGATGGTCTCTTTAAATGTGATGAGGGTGTTTGAGAACCTAACTTGGGCACTGACACTTTCAGAAAGCACAGGTTTTTTTTCCTACCGTAGGCTACTGTGCACGCTTATCCCAGAGTCATCGGGGAAACTGGCAGTCTGTACCATATGAATTCCAAGTTATTCATAAAAGCTGATTTGGGGTAGAACTGTCCAAACCTGATTTTGTTCAGATGGTTATCCCAGAGTAATCACAGAGAAACTGGTAGTTATCACCATATTAATTTCAAATGTTTATAAAAGCTGATTTGGCATCGAGTTGTTCAAACCTTATGTTCATTGTGTCCTTGGCAGCAAAGGGGGAATCGGATAAATGTTCACATAAAGAATCTGTTTCCTGCTTTAAAATTTTCTGAACAGCTTCAGAACATTTGAACATATTTTGTGTTCCTGAGCCTGTTGCTAGTAAAAAAAAAAAGTAGACTGCTTTCTCATTCAGAAAGCTAAAAACAAGATTACTGCCATGAACTAGATCATAATTAAAAGAATATTGATCCACTCAAGGGCAAGAGGTTTATTTAAGACTGGTAGTTGTTGTTTTTAGTGTGTCCTGTGTGCCAGACACTGTGCTAGTTCTTAGGGATACAGCAGTGAGCAAAACTATACAAAGTTCTTGCTTCTCTGGCACTTACGGTCAGGGAAGGAGACAGATATGAGTTGATGTTCCCTCTAATGCCTACTAGGCCTACAGGCTGAGAAAAGTACCCACCAAGAGGTTATTTCTTGCTACTTCACTTTGTGCCACTGGAGAAAGAATCCTGACCTGAAGTTCATGCAGCCAGGGAAGCCTTCCCTAGGAACTGACTCCCAAGCCCTGTGATCTGGAGCATGAATGGGTGTTGCCTACCTGAGAAGAGAACATTCTGGAGTGTAAGGCATGTGCAAAGTCCCTGTGGCACAAAGGAACTAATAGGGCATCGGGGAACTATCGATGTGCAGGGAACTATGGGAAGGTTGGTGGAGTGCTATCATTTCTTCTTTTGCCCTCTATCTTACACATATTCTATCCTAACTTCTGGTTGATATTGTTGTTAGCTGCATCGAGTCAATTCTGACTCACAACGACCCCACACACAACAAAATGAAGCACTTCCCTCTCCTCCACCCTCCTCACAGCGGTTATGTTTATTGACACAGCCACTGTGTCAATCCCCCTCCTTGAGGGTCTTCCTCTTTTTTGCTGCCCTCCCGCTTTACCGGGCATGAGCATGATGTCCTTTTCCAGGGACCGGTCTCCCCTGATAACATGTCCAGAGTGCGTGAGGCAAAGCCTAGCCATCTTCATTTCTCAAGGAGCATTCCAGCTATACTTCTTCCAAAGTTATAGT